ATTTCTGATGAAGGGTCTAGGCCCGAAACGTCAGCCTTCCTGCTCCTATGATGCTGCTTGGCCTGCTGTGTTCATCCAGCTCTACACCTTATTATCTCAGATTCTCCAGCATCTGCAGGTCCTACTATTCTGGAGTATAATTCTTTCATTTGTATTTAATACACCGTAGTTAATAATTTACGTTATTGTGCAAATTATTTTGCCTATGAATGCAGAGTACTGCACTCTGTAGAGTATAACTTTTACGTTGATTTTTTGAGGTAAGAAATTTTGAAGGAACCAATACTGCAAATTTAGAAAATATTCCCTACATACCAAGTCCATGTCATGAATATTTCAAAAAGATCAGTGGCCCCAATATCAACTCCTAAGGAACACCATTGTACTCTTCGAACCAGTCTGAAAAACAACCAAGCACTATTCACTGTTTTTTGACTCATTAACTCAAGTCATTTCGTCTGCTGTCACTGTCCCTTTAATCATAAGACTGTCACATTGTATCTTGCCAAAGCCTTTTAACAATCCAATATTTAGAACATCAATTGCACTAGGCTAACCAATTCTCTCCATTACTTTGGAGAACTCAAGTTAGTCAAATTGTGTCTTTAACAAATTTGTACCGACTTTTATTAGCCCATATTTGACCAAATTTCTTCTGACAATTGTCATAAAATGTTTCCACAGCTCTGACACAGTATTAACTAGCCACAATTACTGAATTTATACCTGAGATTTACATCAAAGGAGGATTAAATGATTAGAGCTTCCACTATTCCCACCCTTATTTATGATTGAGGACTGCCACCAATTAAGTACACACTTTTTAATCCTATCTACTATAATTGCTTTCTCCTTTACTGTTACACTGGTGGCAGCATCTTACTACAAATGAAAAAAATGCTTATTTAGTACCCTCTGTTATACCTTCCATTTTGACACGATGAACTTTACAGTCTCTAATCAGCCTTATCCTTTCTCGGACTACATTTTGACTATTTGCATGATTACTGAAGACTCTTGGGGTCCATATTACTTTGAGTGTAGATTAATGGTCAATCTTTGTAATATCCACATTCAACTTATTTCTCTACTCTATAAATGGAATCTTATGTTTATCATGGGTCCCTTTCTCACTTTTACATTTAGGCCTTTATTCAACCAGGGTAGCACATCCTTTGAGTCATAGGACTGTGTCTGCTCCACAGCCAATTAAATAATCCAAGCCAAAACCATTTTGAACTAACTGATGCTAGTCCTTCTCTAATTAAGTAGCTCTCAGTATACCTCATCCTTTTCCATAAAAAAACCCAGTAAACTTGATGTGGCTTGTTTCTCAAATTACTGTCACACCAAGTGATGCTCAACATGCCTTACTTCATTTCCCAGAGTTAGATCCAGAATTGTTTATCTTCTTGTAGGTTTGGAAAAGTCATTCCACTTCTCTTGTATACAAATTATGAATCCCTCATCCCTGTCATTTACATTGTTACTAATCCCAGTCTAGTCTATGATTACAGATATCCTTAAGTAAGAACACTGCAATGGGGACATCTTTCCAGTGTGCTAATTTGTTCTCCCCATGCTCTCTTTTCCACTACTTGGAGGTGTATAACGTACCTGCAGTAGAACAGTTCCTCTGGCATTCCTGAACTCTAGCCAAATGAATCCAAAGGCAGAGTCTTCAAGCACATTCCTTTCCAGTTTTGCAACTTTCTTTGAACAACGCAGCCAAAGAGCCTTAATTTCCTTCTCCCCTACGTTTCCTGACTAACTTTTACCTCAATATGTTGACTTCGCAACTCTCCCTTTCTTTCAAGCAGGTAGGTCTCCATTGCTGCCATTATAGCATGTCAATTTATGCCTGAAACTAAGTTTTATTTTGCTCTGTACATGCTGTAACATGTACATATATAACATACAACATACTATAACTTTGAGAAGGAAGGGGGGGAAAAAAAAGCAATAAAAGCAAGGCCAGTCTATTGCAGAAAACCTACCTAAATCAAGGAGTCTATCTCCTGGCCGGTTCCATTTCCAACCTTCCAGTTGCTGATGCTCAGTGTATTGTAGTCTACGATCATGGAATACAACTCGCACTATACTCTAGTATTGAAAAGGTAGAGGTCACAATTATCTTCTCTGTAAAGAGACAGTGAATCATGGAACTTCTGCCAAACTTGGCTGTACCAAAATAAATGTATTATGGTGACGCTAAATGTACTTTCTTCATCCACTGCTTAATTTGTCCCAAATTCAATCTTTATTCTTCACCACGTTAACTTCTTGTATTAAAGATTCCAATGAGAATAATAGCATAGGAGGGAGATGGGGGCAAGCAGTTAGGGTTCCTACGCCAAATTATCTAGCAATGTTTGCTAACAATGCTTCTGTGGGGACATACAGCTTATTACATAAACTAATCTTGATATACATATAATGCACCATACACAGCTCTAACATTTTCAAATGTATTTACCTAGCTCTTTTAGCACACTTGAATTCTTGATCTTTATGATCCCACATAAATTTTCCCTTTAGAGAAGGAAAATCCACTAAACCTGAAAGTTATGAAATACACCAACTGCGGCAAACAGAACAGTTCACAGAATATCAACGTTTTTACAATTTAAAAGCTAGCAACTTTCTTGTTTTAGTGGAGAATAACCGCTCAGCAAAAACCTCTCACGTATTGGTTAGATTCACACTATACAAGGAAAAACAAACATTCAGACCATTACAATTTAGTACACATCAATGCTTTAGTGTTTTATTTGTGCTAAAACTTGAAATTTAATGAAAAAAAAAAGATAACGCACCTTAACCATTTTTCCACTTATTTCTGGTAAATCTCCTAATTTTCGGTTATCTAGCATTCGGACTTCATAAGACTGACCTGTTGAAATTCAGAAGTTACTTTTAGGCATTAAAGTCTCAGTTCAAACAAACTATCAAATGATTTAAGTCTAATAAACTAGTTCAGAGGTCAAGTGCAAAACAATGGCCACTGAAATTTTTAAAAATTTGAATCCATTTATTAGTTGGAAATAATTCCCCAGCATAAATTAAAACATTAATTGAATAGTACAGTAGAATCTACAGGAGCACTAAAATGGCATAAATCAAAACTGCTTTGAAATATACAATTAAAAAAAAACTTATGCACGGTGAAGGTTCAATAAATATGTAACTCCAAACGCTTAACGCGTACTTTCTACCAGAGCATATTCCTTAAAATTAAGCTAAGTTCTATCAAAACATCTGACAATCATATGTCAAGAATCACACGGATTTGGTTAACGTTGCTGTAATTCCATCAATTCAGTACATTCTCAACCCTGAATGTCCTCGTTAATTTGTTGGTTCATTGGCAACAATATTATCTCACAACAATGTGACTCAAAATTTAAGTCAATGAGCAACCTGAATATTATAACATCCTTAATGGTACCCTTGTGGTGCAGTGGTAGTGTCTTTGGCCCTGGACCAGAGGCCTGGGTTCAAGTCCCAAGTGCTCTACAGGTCCGTAATAATCTCTAAAGGAAAAATAGGTTAAAAAAAAGATTTAACACCCTTAGTGCCAATAATGGATTCAGACCTCATATGGATGAGGTCTAAGAGAATAGCTGCTTGGTGGTGGTGGTCAGGGCAAGGGGGTTAAAATTGAATTAAACAGTGGATTTCACAGGTCAGAGGCCATTCAAAACTTTCTAACTTTGCATTCTTTGAATAAAGGAACATTTAATTAAAAGTAGGATATAATTAAAAGTGGCTTAAACTATAAAGCAATGTCCATTACCAGGAACAGAAAAACAAAATTGCAAATCAATAAAATCTGCTTTGAGAAGAATTTATTTTACATATTAACTCATCATCTGGAATGCACAGCCCTGAAAGTGGGGTCCAGCAGATTAATGAAAACAATGGAATAGCAGTAGAACAGAGCCAGATAAGCACAATGGGCCAAGTGCCCTCATTCTGTGCTGTGATTTTATGAAATCTGAAAAAAAAAAAGAAATGCTGAAATATTCTGCTCTGAAGGAAGTTCATTAACCTTAAATTTCCCTCTCCACAGATGATGCATGCCCTTTTACCTAAAATAGAGCTGAAATTAAATCAAAAACTTTATGTATACATTTTATGTTATGTTATCTCTTTTAAACTAATCCATTTTCTTAAATTCTCAGAAGCATGTCAAACATTTAGAAAGCTTGAAGGAGTGTAAGTGAAGCTGACTCTGCCAGTCAGTTAAAACACGGTTGAGCACAACATCATTTATCCATCAAAGTTCCACACCATTTATTACCCTGACTGAGTAAGGAGACAAACCCATTTACAAATAAGCCACTGCAGAAAACAGGGAAGTTAGGTGATCAAAATTTTAGTAATAATGGAGTCAGGAAGGAATACTGCCTCAGGTGACAAGATAAGTCATTGGAGGCACAGCCGAACAAAAGAAAGAAGGATGCATGTGGTCTGCATTATAATAAGTTTAATATTAAAAAAGGGGCATATATTCATTAGAGAAGGTACAGCAAGAATGTTCCCAAGCACTGAGTGAGCTAGGAAGCACGAAGGCGAACATGGAATTAATATCTTCATTAAGCATACCTTGGTTCAAGTAGGTGAGAGTTTCATCATGTAGTTTAACAGCAGGAGATGTGGCTGCATACAGCACATACTGGAATGGTGGATGCTTTGTTTCATTCTCTGGAGGGAGGTTTGAATCTTCTTGCTTGAAGATGGGTAGTGCCAAGACATCACTGCAAAATAAAGTCAGCAACATTTTTCTTCTGCAAAGCAGTATTAAAACAAACTTTCTACTCAACAGAATTAATAATGTAATTTCTAACTACGCTTCAGTTTTTGTCTCAAAATATTAGAAAATACAACTTAAACTTAATGCACAACAAAGTTCACAACAGTTTTTAAACACAGTACATTAACATTTTACGTTCTCTCTAAAATTTAGAATCATGAAGCACATTCAAGAATGGAATCTTTTTCATTGTTTAACAAATAAGACTTTGTATATCTAAAGCAGCATTGTAACTTCTGGATTTGATATTTACTTTACCCTAATGTGAACAAGGTCACTTGTTCCTCATTTAATTTCAGCAGAATGTAATGGTTAGTGCACAGACAAACTTTCTGCATCACTATCATTAGTACCAAGAGTTAGACCAAATGGTCCAAGTGTTCTTCAAACTAAACACATTAGGCCTGACTTAAGTTGCTTTGTAAACGACTCGTATAGCAACATCCTACAAAAGGAGGTAGAGGTAAACTTGGTTAATTGACCCTCACAAATTGGGTACACTGTTCCTGGGTAGATGCAACATGACCAGAAAGAGAAGCAATCATAGCTTCTCTTTTGACGAGCACATTCAACAGAAAAAAAAAAGGGGGAAAATAAGATAAGGCCATGAAAATAGAAACGAATACAATCTCAGACTGGACACTTTGTGACAATATTGTTAAGTGTTGAAGAGCCTGTTTATAAAACATTGCTGGGATGCAACAACCGGACATGTGGAGTCATATAGCAAGGAAACAGACCTTTCAGTGCAAGCTGAACAAATTTCCCAAGTAAACTAGTTCCACCAGCCTGCTCCTGGCCCATAACCCTCCAAAACCTTTCCTATGGAATTATAGATTATACGTAAAGAAACCAACATTTGGCAAACCAACTTCATGCAGATCCAGGAACATCCTCTTGGATTATGCTTCTGATTTCAGTAAATGCAGGAAGTTAGACCCCACTGGTTGCAATTAGCAATATCAATACCAATAAAGTCCCAAAGGAAAATGCAAATGGAAAGTAAAATGCTGGAAATCTGAACTCAGAACAAAATGACCACCAGGTTTGGTAGTATCTGTAGAAAGAAAACAGCAAAAAAAATACATTGCAAGTCAATAAACTATCACAGCTCATTGTTCTGATGAAAGGTCTCCATTCTGACCCATCAACTCCTTCTCTCTCCTCTGATGTTGGCAGATCTACTAAGTGTTTATATTATCAACACTAGAGACTTGCTGCATCCCTTCTCTGTATCCAGATACAGTAAATGATATTAATCTTAACAGTTAAGAAAAACTGTCATTAACTCAAAATGTTAACCCAGTTTGTTTTGCCACAAATGCTACCAGACTGTTGTTTTTTTCTCCAACATTGTGTTTGTTCCAGATTTCCAGCATCTTCAGTCTTTGTTCTTAGCAATCTTTCCCTGAAACTGTACATCTTGCCCAAAGCTGAACCAGAGTATAACTGAAACTGAAGAACTTAAACTAGTTACAAAGAAGAAATGCAGGTTGCTACTAGTTATAGAAACTGTTTTATGTTTTTTTTTAAGCTTATTTTTCCACCATCCTGCACCCCAGCTGACAATATCAGCTGATTAAGAACATGACAATGTGCTGTGAAAAATGGTATGGTTTACTTTAATTCTATTTAATTTTTCTAGTTAAAGTTTTGAATTGAAATCCCAAGAAGCGCAGATCCAATATCCACTATGGGAGTGGTTGCAAAGAAAACCCTACCAAATACAAAATTGCTGGGGTAGCCAGAATAAAGAAATAAAAAAGGAGGTTACATACGTCAAGAGATGCAATACTCAATTTTGTGTATTTGATAGCCAACCAGAGCTATAGAAACAGCTGACCAATTATAATTGGATAATATGCACAAGGAGTCAAGGTGAAAAAGTGCCAACTTCAGAAAACAAACGTACTTATATAGAAATGGGCTCATTGTATTGCGCGTTGATCATTGCCTATCTCAACTGCAGGCTACCTGTGCTTGTGAAGTCAAAGCTTGCTCTGAATAAAAATTAGTGGGAATTTGGACCATGCAAAAAAAAAAAGCTTCAATATTTAAATTTCAGATTCAGGTTTACAATCAATGTTAGTATTTAAATATATGAAGTATTATGACTCCATGTCAAGAAACAATATGCTCAGAAACAAGGCATTTGTAAAAGAAAACACATGTTATGATATTTCAGGCATATAATTGGAAAAAAAAGAGAAATCCAACAGCAAAAACTGAAATTGGTTGATAGATAACAAGCAAAGATTTAGAATAATGGCTGCTGCTTGAGCTCAAAAGAATTGCGGTGTACCCAGTGTACTCTACTGGTTAAGGCTTGCTTTACCTTCAGGATGCAAAAGACGACTTGATCTTGACACAAGGGAACACAATCTCAAAATGTGCATACATAACAAGGGTTTTAGGTTTGGAAAATAGATGAGTGGAAGGGCAAATAGAAACCTATGAAATTTAACCCAAATATGAATATGAAGCAAACATCTGATAAAGACATACAAGGAATGGGAGTATGCACTAAAAGAATAGATGCTGACAGGTGCAACTGAAACTAATTCAAGTTCCAAAAATATCATTCCCTATGTTATGCCCAGTAAAAATACCATGGTTCTAACATTCAAGACTGTCTCTATCCAATATGGACACTTTAAAAATTGACTTTAAAAATCAGACAATGTGAAAAGCTCAGGTGAATTTAGTGATTCTGAGAGACAAACAATTAACTCCAGTCTCAGCATACATTTTAAGAACTTTGCAGAAGTAACCAATAATGGGTCAATAAAGGACTGAACTGTCCCCATCTACCACCACCCTCCACCACCTGACCAAGCTCACCCTCACTGAGCAACTTCACCTTTAACTCTTCTCACTTTCTTCACATCAAAGGTGTGGCCATGGGTATGACTGGGGAGACGAAACACAGTCAGGCCAACTGCTTTGCAGAACACCTACGTTCGGTCCGCAAAAGTGACCCTGAGCTTCTGATGGCCTGTGACTTCACCATCCCACCATGGTCGTTGCGTATCATTTTTGTCTCAGGCCAGTTGCAGGCTCCAGCCTTCAGGACACCATATGGAGTTCAATAAATTTTAGGGTGTGAAAACCTTCTTACATATCCTTTCCCCACCCCCACACCCCGGCCCTCTCATCACATTGGCAGGTGAAAATAGTAGCCTATGGTCCAAATCATCGGCGTTCCCTGATAAGGACACCAGATACGTAGGAACACCACCACCTTAACGTGACCCTCCAAGCCACTTACCAATCTGACTTGGAAATATATCATCGTTCCCTCACTGTTGTTGGATCAAAATCCTGGAATTCCCTCCCTAAGGGCATTGTAGGTCAAACTACAGTATGTAGACTGTATTTCAAGAAGGAAGCTCACCAACACTTTCTCAAGAGCAACTAACCAGCAATGTCCACATCCCACAAGTGAAACTCCAAAGACAAAAGGAGTAAGATAAGCTATCACTATTATCCATCCTTTTGTCTGCCTAACTGCTGTCCTCTCTCTCTCGCTCGCTCTCTCTCCATCTCGACCTACTACATATTCCTCCTCTCTCTCTCTGAAGAGGGTCACTGAATCCAAAACTTTAACTGCCTTCTCTCCACAGATGCTACCAGACCTGCCAAGTTTCTCCACCAATCTCAGTTTCTGTTTCTGACAGTGGGTGGAATCCCCTTCTTTGAATAGGCATTCACAAATGTAAAACAAAAATTGTAAGGTTACTTCTTTTTTAAAAAAGCATTCTGGGTATTTATTGAAATACAGGAATCAAAAGCATCTCCTACCCGACCCCCAAATCCCGCTCTCCCCTGCAGAGAAATCAGTTTACCAAAAGCAGGTGTTAACATCTATTCATTTTCCATTACACTATAATGGCTTCTAACTTTAGAGAATTTGTGAATAATAGGAGCATTGATCTGATTACTTCACATCACTCAATAACCAGCCAAGAAAGGAGTTTGGAAGCAATGAAGGCTAATGAGACCATTCCTCGAACCAGGAGGCAGAACAGAAGAACAAGCAACACAGCAACCTGTTCTTAGTTGCGACAACTCACCTCCATAGAAGAGTTGTCATAACTTAGAAAATTTTCAACAAGAATCAATTCAGACATGGAATGTGTGCATCTTAAAAGGACAACTTTATCCTTTGATTTCCTTCTAGGTAATTGTGTTAATAATCCAGTTACATGCTTTGTTCTCTAGTGTCCAGCGGTTGGCACACATACACTGTGCAAAGAAGTAAGTTTTTTTTGTCATGATCATACTTTAGAGTGTTGGTTGCATTCAACTTTCCTTCCGATTTAACATATCTGGCAGCCTGACTCAAGTCCATTATTAAAAGTTGAAATACTCAAAGAGGAGTTAAAACAGAAAGCTTGTTGCAGACAACCAAGAGGGGAGAAGAAAAAGGGGAACGTTACCTCAACATTTTCCTTCTGTCTGTAATATTTTGAAGTACAAAATTTGAAACCTCCAAAATGGTTAAGCTACATTGGGTTTTAAACAAAATGTATATTGAATACAAGACCAAAATGAATAGTGTCCAAATTTGTGCAAGATGGTTAAAAGTACTGTTAAAAGTGCAGTTTTGAATGCCCTTATAATAAGGACTCTAAAGCCATAAAGAACATTAAAGGTTGTTTCACCAACATAATGCTAGATACATTGAAATATAGTCAAGGGGTTAATCGAGGTGTATTCAAGAATCATTTTCACTAGAGAGTAAATATCTAAGTGGAGATGTCATTCTGGTTTCGAAAGTATAATGGGTTTTGACAGTAAGTCAACGTAGTCTATCATGACAAGGAAACTTTAATTTATAATTACCATTTCCAATAAGAACAGAGGATATGAGAAATATATTGAGAGAGAAACGTTCAGACATGGACTGCTTTGCCACAGCGATTGGAGGAGGGTAAAATATTC